GGTTCAGGGTCTGTGGGCCGGCGGTGAGCATGTGTGTGCGCGTGTGGGCGTGCACAGTGGCCCTGGTCTCTCCTATGTGAGTCCCCGTGACTGTGTGTGATTTTGCACTTGTGTTTTAGTCTGTGGTGTGTGACCGTTCTGTGTTTCTGTATGCGTGCATGTGCGTGAATATGGTTGTGTACATGTATCTATGTTTGTGTAATTATGTATTTTGAGAAATACTTGTGTGTGTACATGTATTTGTGGGTGTGTTGCCTAGGTGTGTGATTGAATGAGAAATATCTGCTGTGTGTGCCCAAGTATTTGTTGTGCATGTGTGATTATACACCCACAGATGTGTTTGTTGTGTGTTTGCCTGTTGTATGTGTAAGACCACATATATACAAGCGTGGTTGTTCATCTCTGCACGTATGTGAGTACGTGTGATTCTGTGTTTTTAAAAGTGTCTATTATGTATACCTGTGTTTGTACGTTTGTTCTGTTTGCATGTGTGTGAGACTATGTGTATTAGTGTGGTTATCATGCAGCTGCAGCAGAGGAGAGGCCCTTCCCCCTGGTGGCCCCGCCCCTGGTGGCCCCACCCCTAGAAGCCCCACCCCTGCCCTGCTCCCCGCTGGGCCCACCTCCAGCAGGGACAGCCTGCTCTGCAAACTTTCCACCTCCCGACCTAGACTCTCCTTCTCCTCCTGCCTCTCTGCCAGCAGCTGCTGTAGCTCTTGCACCTGCAGGGAGGCAGTGGGGGGCTCAGTGGGCCTCTGGGAAAAACACTGGGCAGCTGGCCGTCCAGCTTCCCCCCACCTTCCACCCTACCTGTCTCTCCAGGCTGTGGAGGGAGCTGGCCTCCGCCTCTGGCAGCTGACGGAAGAAAGGGGCCTGGGCTTGGATCTGGGCTGGGGGGCCTCCCTGGCCCACCTCCTGCTCAGTGGCCCTCCATCCCAACCACAGATGTCCTCTGGCCTATTTTGTGCCAGACCACCTTTAGGGCCACTAATTCGTTTATTTATTCATTCACTCACTTACTCAAATATTCATCCATCCAGTAAATACTTATGAAGCATCTACTGTGAGCCAGGCACCATCAACCATGTCTGCCCTCGTGGGCTTGCAGTCGAATGGGTGAATATGAATAAAATATATGGTACATCCAGTAGCAGTAAGTGCTCTGAATAAAAATAAAGGGAACTGTGAAGTGAGTGGGGGTGTAACAATTTTAAATAATTTGGGGAGGGGAGGTGTCTTTGAGCAAAGACCTGAAGGAGGTGAGGGAGGGAGTCATAGGGACATCTGGGAGAAGGTGTTTCTGGCAGAGGCCACAGCACGTGCAAAGGCCCGGGGGCAGCACCGTGCCTGGCGTGTTGGGGGAACACCGAAGAGGCCTGTGTGTATGGAGAGGGAAAAGAGGTAGGGTACCCCCCAAAATGGTACCTGCTGCAGGCTTAGCCCAAGGCCCATGTCTCTGAGGCCCCTCACCTCCTGCTTCCTCCGTTCCTGGTTCTGCTCCAGGCCCCGGATCTTCTGCAGCAGGCGGCCCCTCTCCTGTCGCAGCCGCACGATCTCCTCATAGGCATCTTGATCATCCTGTCCCCCGACCCCGGGAACCCACCACCTTAACATGACGCCCAAGGACTGTACCCTCCCGTACCTGAGCCAGAGCTTTCTCCCCATCCTGCCTGGAGTCCCTCCATGCCTCCCCCCAAGGCCAGGGCATCTCTCACCGGCATCGGGATATTGGCAGGGGGCTGAGGTGCCTTTCGCTTCTTGGGGGCCCCTTGCTTTTCATGGCTGGACACAGAGTTCTGGGGGGGAGGGGTAGAGGAGGTACATGGGGGACATGCCAGCCTCCCACCCAAATAAACCAACACAGCCAACCCACTCTCTGTCACCAGCCCCAACTGTGCCCTCACTTCCTGTGTGATCTCGAGTGAGTCCCTGCCTCTCACTGATCCTCACTTATCCCAGCATAAAAGGGGGCAAGACCACATCTCCTGAGAGTTCTAAATCTTAAGTTTTACCCTCTGCCCCTCTCCACGCCCTGGTACTTTCCCCAGCTAGATTCAATTGTTTACTTTCCCTATGGAGCTGAGACGCTGTAGTGCCAGAAGAGAGAAAGAGGCCAGACCTGACTCCTTCACTGACTGCACCAGCCCTCACCCATCTCAGTTCCCTCTACCATCCCACCCTAGCCCCATGATTTGGCCCCATCCCCCCAGTGTTCTCACTGAGTCTTGAGAGTTATGCTGTGGGTGCTGCTGCCACTTGGTGGCAGCATACCCCGAACATAGCATTCTTCCCCAACCTGGTCCTTCCAGGTATTAACCCTGAGTCAAGGGTCCATCTCTTCCTTCTCTTCCCAGGGAGCCTGGGGTAAGGGGGAAGGTAGTGTGTGCACAGGGAGAGGGACTTGTTCGCTGCTTAGGGATCCATACCTGAGATGATGCCTCGCCTGAGTCATCCTCTGGGAGGGCAGGGGAGAGAGGGAAGCAGGGTCAGGCACTGTTCTAGGGATTCCATTCCTAGCCCTAGGAAGGGCATTAGTGAGCCCAGGGGACCTGAGAGGGCTCCCAATTCCCCCCAGAATCAGGACTTTTGAGGTAGGAATCAACCATTTTGACAGAATACTAATAGGAGGGGCCTTGAAACTCTCAAAAAGAGAGAACAGTGGCATCTCCAGGATGGGGCAAGTGGAAGGGCCAATTCTTAGGAAAGGTAAACATCCAAGAATATGGATGACCCAGGAAAACAGAGTTGACCCCTAGGCTATTCTAAAAGCTCTGGGGTTCCTCAAAACTGTCCTGAGTAGTGTGACAGGAGCAATGAAACCTCCTATAATACAAATAGGGATACCTTGAAACTATCCACAGTAGGGAGGGAGAGAAAGGGGTGACAAGAAATTACCTAGAAGATGGAGGAGGGTGCTCAAAATTGTTCAGAGGTGGGGTTTGCATACCGCTGGGTGGTGAGGGGCGCTGGGCGGCCTCCTGCAGGAGGTGTAGGATGAGTTTGTCCCCTGCCAGGGCGCCGTAGTGAGCAGCGTCCTGGCCCAGCGCATCAGTGATGCCCGGCTGGGCCCCACCCTGCAGCAGCACCTCCACTGTTTCGGGGCTGGCTCCCTCACAGGCCAGCATCAGGGCCGTCCTACCAGAAGAGGAGGCTACTGAGGGGGTGAGGACATTTTCAAACCACCACACCCTCCTCAACACCCAGGCTGGGTAGGGGGAGGAGGACAACTAGATCCCACACCCAGAGAGGTTAAGAGACTTGCCTAAGTCACACAGCACACAATGGACTGGCTGAGAGGGGAGATGCTCACCTGCCCTGAAGGTCCTGGTCATTTGCAGCAGCCCCTTGCTGCAGGAGGAGGCGGCACAGATCTGTGTGACACATCTGAGCTGCTATGATGAGGGGTGTTGTACCCAGCTGGGGGAGGGGGTTCGGAGAGGGATGAGACAAGGCATGAGAGAATGACTCTGGGAGGTGGGGAAGCCTAGGACGGCCCCCAAGCTTCCCTCCAAATTTTCATACTTTTCAAAGGGTGCCGGGGATGTTGCTACTTGGTGGCAGCATACCTCAAATGCAGTATCTTTCCCCACATGATCCCAAAGACTCACCCGATCTCGGGGATTCAGATGTGCCTTGAAGGAGCAGAGCATTTCTGAGCAGGAGATGCAGCCGCCAGCCGCTGGAAAAAGAGAGAAGGGTGGGTAGGAAGGGCATGGCTTTGATATTTTCTGGGGGCCTGAGTGTGATTCTTATCCTTTATTTCATGAGAAACTCCCACCTCCCCCAGAAGATCAGTGACAAAGATATGACTCCTATTTTACAGATGAAGAAACTGAGGCCCAGCCAGGCCCATGGTCACCCAGGGGGTCAGAGAAAGAGCCAGGATGAGGACCCAGCTCTTCTAATTCCCAGTCCCAAGCTCCTTCCACATTCCACTGTGGGTCCCTCTTAGGGTGGAACGTTTCACTGATTTTCACGTATTTAACCCCTTTTGATTCAACCAGCATTTATTGTGTACCAACTATATACCAAACCCTCATACAAAGAGTGTTAATATTTACTAGACAGATCAGACCTCCGCTGAGGTTGGGCAGGCTTCTTGGGGTTTGATCTGAGCTTGAGTTTTGATGGTGAAAGGGGGAGGGTAGAGGTCACTGCATGGACATGGACCCTGAGGCAGGGAGGAGCTTGGAAGGACTTGGTCATCAAGGAAGTAGGACAAGGTGTGTTATGTCCAGAACCTCAAAGAGGGAAGGAAGGGCTTTGTGCAAGGAAGTGTTGCTGGTAAACCATTAAACTCTTGGACTTCCCTGGCGGTCCAGTGGTTAAGACTCCGCAATTCCACTGCAGGGGGCGCGGGTTCGATCCCTGGTGAGGGAACTAAGATCCCACGTGCTGTGCAGCATGGCCAAAAAGATAAAATAAGAAAAAAAGCTAAAAAAAAAAAAATCAAACTCTATGTGATTACCTGCTGTGTGCCCAAGGACTTATGGGGTTTTGTTTGCTGTTGTAATCCCATTGCTTAGAACCGAGCCTGGCACACAGCAGGTACTCAATATTTATTGAAAGAAAAAAACCATGGAGCTTCCATAACGTATCAAAGGCTTTGCCACCACTAGGTGGCAGCGTACTCCAACTGCAGGGAATGTTTCAACAGTGAATAAAACTCCAGAGCAAATGTATTCCACACTCCCAAGAGGATAGACGTTTCTTGAGTCATCAAGTGAAAGACATTCCCGAATGTCATGGGCACGGTGGACAGACATTGGGCTGGGCCCTGGCTCAGGTGGGTGGGTCCCTTCCCTCCCTCGGGAAAGGAATTTGGATTTGATGACTATGAAGGTTGCCTGGAACTTCGGCCTTCCTGAGATTCCCTAGGAGTTAGTTCCTTGAAGCAAATTATACTCTGGTCACCCTCTGATCGTCCTCACCCAGGCCCAGCATACAGTAGGCTGTGCTTCGGGGTCAGACGGCCTGGATCCTCCCCACTTTCTTGCTGATAAGCCTCAATCCCCTTGTCTGTCCAATGGTCATCGTCCATGGCTCAAAGGGTCACTGAAGATAATGCAGAGCCCAGTGCCTGGCACACAGTAGGGCTCCATGAGGAAGGAGGTGGAATGTCCTAGGCAGGTCCCCAGAGCCCTAGGTAGAATAATTTCCAAGCCTAGTGCCCTCTGGGCCATGGTGGCCAGGGCGAGGCCAGGCTGCACCCACCTGCGTGATGCAGGGCCGTCCACCCACTACTGTCCACAGTATCCACCACGCAGGATGCCTGGGGGGGGGAGGCGTGTCATTGGAGGTGAAGCCATCCCTGTTTAGGAGCCATCCCTGTTGCCTAATTTCTCTAGGAACTGTCCCTCCTTGGGCTCTGCTGTATTTCAGCCTCCTTGCCTCCCCCCTTCTCCCCTCCCACCCACCTGCTCTGTGGAACCCACTTCTCACAGGCCCCCAAATGACTTTCTTGGCTTTTATGAAAATTGGTGAGAAAGAGGGATTAGCTGGGAGCCCAGGGGCAGCCAGGGGTTTGGGGAGAAGCTGGGCTCAGGAAATAGCTGGTATTGGGAGTATAACTTGGGTGTGGGAAGTAGCTGGACACTCAGGGAGTATCTGGTTGTCCAAGGAGTAGCTGGGACTCAGAAGTAAAAGGGGCCAAGGAATACAAAGGATTCAGGGGGTAACTGGGGGTTCAGTGAATTCCTGGAACTCAGGAGTAGTCAGGGCAAGGGAGTGTCTGGGGTTGGGAAGTATCTGAGGCAGGAAAGGACATGACCTGTAGTAGTTGCTTCAAGCACTGAGGGTGCCCATACTTGGCGGCCAGGTGGAGGGCACTGTAACCTGAAAGGGAGAGAGAATGTACTAGAGCTTCAGATACTCAGGGAACTTCCAGTTGCCCCCCCAAACCTGTGTCAACTACTTGCGATGACTCTAACAAGTCCCCAAACCCAGGTACTACTCCCTGGGACCAGGGACTCTCCAAGCCTCAGCTAGTAGGTGTCCCAGACAATCTCATCCCAGCTACACTCCACATCCATCCACTCCTCAAGCACTACTGTCCCCAGCTACTCCCCAGGTCGCCAGCTACTCCCCAGGTCCTCAGCTACTCCCTCGGTCCCCAGCTACTCCCCAGGTCACCAGCTACTCCCCAGGTCCTCAGCTACTCCCCTGGTCCCCAGCTACTCCCCCGGTCACCAGCTACTCCCCAGGTCACCAGCTTACTCCCCAGGTCCCAGCTACTCCCCAGGTCCCCAGCTACTCCCCAGGTCTCCAGCTTACTCCCCAGGTCCCAGCTACTCCCCAGGTCCCCAGCTACTCCCCAGGTCTCCAGCTACTCTATAAGCTCAACTACACCAAAGTGCCAGCTATGCCGCTGTCTTTGATACTCTACAAATTCCCAGTACCCATACATCCTGGCTCCTATACTTGTTGCCCTGAAGCTTCAGATATGCCCCATGCCTAGCTATTCCCTGAGTCCCAACTACTCCCTCTGGCCATGCCTTCTATAGCAGTTATCCCTCAGGGCCCTAGTTAAGTCACACACCTAGATTCTCCTTTTGTCTCAGCTACTCCCAGAGCTCCAGCTAACTCTAAAGCCCAGCTACTCCATGCACCTCAGATACTCCCCTCCAAAAAACTGTACTTGTTATTCTCATGCCCCCAGATGCTCCTCAAGCTCAGATGCTCCTCTTGTTTCCATTACTTCCTCTGACTCAACCACTACCTGAGTCCCAGCTCTCCCTGATCCACAAGTTGACTCACTCTGTTTGCTGCCGCCCATGGTCTCCATCCTTGGGTACCACAGCCTGACTCGCCCCTGCGCCTCCCTGGGGGCACTGAAGAGAACCCCCCTTTTACAGCAGGACACGGAGGTCATGAAGCAGGGCCTGGCTGGACCCTCAGGCTGGGCACCTGGTCTGAGTTCCTCTTCCCTCCCCCAGGGCCCAGCGGGTAGTACCTGCCCCATCCGTGCTCATAACGTTGGCGCCGTGTGTCAGCATCACCTCTAGACAGCTGGCTGCACCCCTCATGGCCGCCAGGTGGAATCTGGAGGCCAGAGGTCAGGGGTCAGCTGCAGGGTGGCCACCCCTCAGCCATCACACCCCCAGGACGTGGGCACTCACGCGGACTTGCCCTCGGGGTCCAGCTTCGTGGGCACCAGCCCCTTGCGGGCAATGAGGGAGGCCACCCGTGCGGCATCATTGTTCTCCACGGCCTGCAGCAGCCGCTCGTCACTTTTGCCCCAGTCCTGGCTCTGCGGGGCATACCCAGGGGAACATGGGACTGGCGGCCACTGCCCCTCCCCACTCCCCCAGCAGGGGCTCCGGGCTCTCACCGCCCCGCCTGGGCACTTGCCTGGCGCCTGCCTCTGGCTGCCGGCTTCGGGATGGGGCAGGGGCCGCAGGGTGGGCAGGAGCCAAGGTCAGTGGGGCTGAGCCGCAGCTGCCGGGGGGAGTGGTCCTGGGTGGGGGCCTGAGACAGCATCCCTCAAGCCTGGGTCCCCAGCATCTGCCCCCAGGTCCATCGCCCCAGCTGTCATACACCACTTCCACCATCATACCATTAAATCATCCCCAGATCAGCCACCAGCATCTTTCCAAAAAGTTGTCCCCCAAACCTAGGCCCCCAGCCCATCCCTTAGTGAAAGCCACCTTTCCAATATCACCTCACCATATCCCTTTCTGAACTACCCTCCGAAGTCTTCCCATAGGAACCCCTAAAAAGGTTGCTTCAATGTCCCTCAGCACCATCCTCTGCCATCTATCCTTTGACTGCCTCTGAGATGCCACAATTGTCTCCCAAATGTCCCAAGATCTGAAATGCATTCCAAAATGTCTTCCCCAAATTCCTGACATGTTCTCCAAAATCATCCCCCCAATGACCCCATCATCTGTCCCCAAAATGTCCTCCCCTAAAATCTTTCAGATGTCCTCCAAAATTGTTCTCCAAATGTCAATATCTTTTCCCAAAAAAGATCACCCAAAACAGCATCAAAATTGTCCCCACAAATGATCCCATCCAAAACTGTTCCCCAAAACTGTCCCTCTAAATGCCCTCTACATTCTCCTGTGTCCCCATATGTCCTCAAAACTGTCCCCCCAAATGTCCCATCCATCCCCCCCAGTCTCTGCCCCGCCCCCTCCCTCCTCCCTGAACATCCTTCGCGGGTCTGAGGGTGGAGGGTCTAGGCTCTGCGAGGTCAGGGGGCGGGGAGGGGAGGAAGGGCCCGCGCCCGCCCCGCTCCCGCGCCCCTTCCCCCGGCCCTACCGCGAAGGAGGCGGCGGCGCAAAGGCACAGCTGCTTCATGGTGTCCAGGGCGCCGGGCGGCCAGGCGGCCGGGCTCCGGGAAGTGACCAGAGGGAAGGGCCCGCGATGCCGGAGCTCGGCCGCCCGGCCCGCGCCGGCCCCCCCAGCC